TAATGAAATCCATTCTAATTAAACTTAATAAATAGAAAATATGTAAGGATCTCACGCTAAACAAATAGAAGACATACCTTCTGCTCAAAAGTACTCGGATTTTGTAAATAAAAAACAAATTTAAATTTTATTCCAAATTTCTTTTAACTCCTTCAATATATGCTCCTTTTGAAGCGATACACATATGCCAACGCTTAACCCAATGTTCCATACACTTTTCGTAGGCTCGTGCAGGTATGGCTTTTAATTCCTTCAGCGGATTCTCTTTTACCGATTCAATCGACTCAAAACGCTTACCACGAAGGGGCAATTTAAGTTTCGGGAACAGGAAAAAGTCGCACGGCGCCAAATTTGGCGAATATGGTACCTGAGCGATGACAGTGGTGCCGTGTTTGGTAAAAAAATCGCGTACAACAAGAATTTTCTATATTAAAAATCGCGAAATGCACTTGAGGTAGTCTCACATTAACAGCTGCTGTAAACAAAGTAATTGACAGATGGCGTTCAAATTTGTACCATATGTCAAAAAAGGGTGTACCAACATAACAAAAAAAAATTTTTCAAAAAGGTCTATTACTTAAGGAGTAGTTAACAAACAACAAAATCCGGGTACTTTTTGAGCAGAAGAATTTTCTAATATAAGACGAGAATAGAATCTCTCGGCTCATTATTCTCTTCCTGAGCTAAGTCAAAACAGAAAAGTACAATGTATGTGAGCTGATATGTAATTTGGTTAGGCACTATTATCTATCATTTCAGACAGACTCAATTTATAACAATAACACAGAAGTATAATATAATCCATCATGTAGCTTGTCAGTGATCTGAATTATGTTATACTAAAGAGACATGCTTCTTTTTAAACACAACAATAAATCAGCTCTTTAGCTATATATTATTTCATATATAATAGAAACTTTGTTCATAGTCTAAAAATGAAATTCTTTTATATTACATTTAACTGAATAGCTTTAAGCCGTAAAGAAAATACTGATCTGTTTTGATATTGAGTACTTTAGTACTTTTTTGTGACCAAAAACTTATTAGAGTCAAAAAAACTAAACTCTATTGAAAGTTTATTTCTCAGTATAAATATTTATTTATTTATTCCTTGATTTATTTTAATAATTCATTACATTTTCATAATTCAAATTTCTTTTAAAACGAACTCAATAGAATGACATTATACAAGTTTTATAGTTGTAGGGTATTAATTTTTATTTAGACTATTTCTTTAGTTTATATACATTTTGTTATGGTGTTTTATTATGGTGTATACGTCTAACATAAAATAATCAATAATTCTTGACTAAACATAGTAATTATTCTAAGATAAGTTAGTATAGTTCATATTTAAACACGGACACAAACTATTCTTGTTTATGATTCCATACCTATATTTGAAACTAGTTAGCTCTTATGTCTGTATTTCCACAATATCTTTATTTCAATTCAAATTCAAATTTCATCATAAGAAATGTCATTCTTATCCATATCACCTATCACAGGAACGTGTATTATTCCCATGTGCAACATATTCTCAATAAATTTTGTTGAACTGGGGATCAATAGCCGATTTGAACTCTTCTTTAGTCTGTTTCTATTTACCACCACTTTACAAATATCAATTGTTAAGTCTTAGATAGCTTTAGACATTTGCTAATTAGATGTTCCACATTTCTTGAATTCACAGTGGATTTTGATATTTGGTAATACATATTTTCTCGGTATTATAAACTTCTTCAAACAAATTGGTACCATTTAGTAAACAAAATCAAATTATAAAACTATCGAATTTGTTTTTTTTTTTATTTCATTAATTTTCCAACAGAAAAATATATTTTTTCCGAAATTCAAAATTTATGCAAAAATCATGATTTTGCTGATATTGAAGCTTCCGTTGACAATCGCATTATATCTTGTATCGTGCTTATTTTGAGGATAATAAGCACATAGAACAAAATAGCCTCGTAAGGATATGCAAAAACATATACATTTCATATTGAAATTGGAAAAAATTGAGAATGAAAAGAAAACGCATTTAACAATAAAATATGCAGCACTGCACTCGTAAAATGTCTCAACTGCAACAGCAGCAAAAATTTATTGGTTAACTGGAAATCTTTGGCAGTGTCGGGCATAAAAAACACACGTAAAATGAGAACTTTTTCCGCATCAATATGCATGGCAAGTCGAACGCGTTCACGCTTTTTCATGGCTTATTTTCAATGAAAACACCGTAAAAAAAGCAGAGTGTGTTTATATTATAGAAGGAAGAGGCAAAAAATACTCATAGTTTACAAGTACAAATAAAAATATGACTATAATAAAATCAGCAGCAATACGCCCACCGACATTATTTGTCAGCAGCGTTGCTCCTGCAATTTGTCAGCTAAAAATGCTGCTTTACGCGTCATTGCCATAATAAAAAAAAAAGAAATTATAAGCAAAAATATTTGTGGGAAAAATTGAAAATTTCTGATGCTTCCGTTGTCGTTGTGCATAAAATGAATTGAAAACTTATTTTTGTCGGAAATTGGAAAATTGCAAATCACGTAAAAACGTCGTGTTCGGTGTTGTCTGCTGTGTTGCGGTGCAGTAACGCCCCCAAAAATTGCGCTTACACGGACATAAAATTAAAGTAAAATCAACATTAAACGATTCTATTACACGGCGTAGTTTGTTTGGTGTAGGTTTCTGCAGAACGCAATGATGCGCCATCATCGTGGCAAGCCAGCACACACTAGTGCACAGATATTATCATAGAAATTTTCATATTTGTTGCTTGAAATTTTGTATATAGATTGGGGGATACACGCATACATTACATAAAAAAAGTTTTAATTTGAAAACTTTAAACGTGTAGGCCACATGTGAGCACACATTTAGGCGCAACGCAAATGATTTTCATTATTCCACAACATTATTTTGTTTAAAGTTGTTTTGTTTATTTAAATAACAATAGATAAGCTTAGCAAGAATCATTTTTATTTAGATCTCAATAAACGACAATAATATAATCATATTTGTATTTGTGTGCAAAATGTTTAAGGTTCACCAATCAAATTAAATATTGAAGATATTTTCTCTAGTACTGGGTTAGATAGGTTAGGTTATACCGGCGATCCCTATGGGATCCACTTAGACCCATTGGCCCATTCTGTTACCGTATAAAGAGAAAACTCAGAATTTAAAACTCACCTAGAACCTTTGCGAAGCTTAGAATATTGTTTGGTGGAAGGTGTTGTAATTGATCAAGATTCTCAAGAAAAGACGCTTCTAAAGTGTTGAGCAACACTCATCATCTTCCTCACAGCTACGATAGGTATGATTGAAAGGGAGATTCAACTTCTGGAATAGTTCCCTGATTTGCAGTAATCTGTAAGTAAACCTACTATAAGACTCATATTTCTACGGGTTATCTCAATGAGAATATTGGATTTTAGTGTAAAGTGATCAGATTCCTTACAGATGCCTGTGTATCGTTGAGTCTCTGACCTTTTATTAAAAATTTCAGCACAGAACGAACTCAGCAATAATTTGCGTGATGTTAACGATATGCCCAGATTACTTAGGTGGCCTGACTAAGGTCCTGAAGCACCCTTTCTGGCTAGCTCGTATGCTCTGCAATTGCCAAAAAAATATTTTTTTGATCCTAAAGGTGATCACTTCCGCCAGAAAGACACCACAATGATCCGAAAGCCTAAAATAAGACGAATTATTAAGTACCTCCACTGCCTACAAGTAGTGGTATCATGATTATCAAATCATGATAATCGAACAAAAGCTCAAAACAATTTGAGCGACATTAGAGCGATATCTATCCCTCAATGTAACAGGTGAGGTGAATACATAATACATAAATACTTAATATTATAAATAAAATAAGATTCAAATTTATGTTATGAAAAATTTATCGGGTTATTCAAAATAGTGCTCTATCTCTAAAATAATAACTTAAATTCTTCTTTCTTTACCATTCTAAGACAAGCAATCTAATCATTTTTGATGATGACATTTAGATAATATATTGCAGGATGAGGAAGAATTGCAGAAGCCAATACTTCTATGGAAGTTCACTCCTTTCTTTCTTATTTTGGATCAAATTATTTTATCACTTTCTCACTTGAAAGAAATCACTTTGCTGAGTAGATATCTGTACCATTGTGATTTAATTCAAAACACCAATAATATACAGAATATAATTTTCTCAAAGTATTTTAAATTATATATTAAATGCACTTTAAAATTCATTCCTTATAGTTTCGAGGTAATTATAAAAGCCGAAAAGGTTTTTAACTAAGTTTAATGGCTTTAACGACCATTGGTGTTGCCGATTTTAGCTTAATTGTATAAGCCCCATATTATTTTCATGTTATGACTCAAAAGAACTTTGTCCAGGCTCTGGGAAGACTTTTCAAAGTTCCATGGTACATTAGGACGAATGACATCCCATCAAAAAATACATAAAGGATAGAGCCCTGAAATTATTTGCGAAATCTGACAGACTTACAGGCTCCTCGGGGAGGTATGCAGATATGAGGTCAATTATTGTTTAGTCTGATGAAGTGATAAACAATAATCCAGTCAAGGTGCAAAGAGGGGTTTTGAAGAAGCCTCACAGTTAATAGAGAGTAAAAGTTCTCAGATGCACTGACTTAACTAGCCTCAACATAATAAAAGAACTTCATAATATTTAATAAGGGAACAGGATGAGAGTCTTATCACTTATGTGTGATAACTGGAATAGAAACATATAAATGTTCAGAAGACATTTGTAAGTAAGTGAATTCCGGAAAATTATTATTTACAAGTAGAGTCTAAAGTGGAAAGAAACCAAAATTAATGTGTCAACATCAACTTTCAATTATAAAGATCAAAACAGCGAAATCATAAAGTAAGCTGTTCATTTTCAATTTAATTTTTATTTTATGAACTCAAATCGATTTTCAATGCTTAATTTAAAGCAGAAGAAGTTATTTTAAAAAATATTGCACAATTGGAATTAAAATTTTTAAAAAAAATATTTTCGACTTTCAAAAGTCCGATTAGTCTTAAATATTTTATTTACCTTCCTATGAGGGGTTATGCAAACTGTTGACTTCTTCAAAAAACAAAAAAAATGGAAGATTCTCACGTCAATAAGTGTGCTGCAGTCAGAAAGGCATTTTGTTTACAAGCACCTATTGAGTTTGTCGTACACAAAGTTCGACATATAGTAGACACAATTCCTTTGCCTATTATAACTGAGGATGACCGTCAATCAGTTGTGTTGATAAATGATATCATTGTTAAAAGTAAGTCTTCCATATTTAAGCAGGATAATATTTAAATGTTGTTTTATATTTGTATTTAAAGTTTGCAACACAATAAAGCCGATATTAGATTACCCGTTACCAAATTTCCCACAACTAAGAATTGAACTCGAAGAAATCAATTTAAAAATGACATTCATTCGGCAACAAGCTGCTATGACGAAAACGGATTATAAAAAATATGAAAGCGATAAAAAGGAAAACTCAAGTGTTGCAAAAAAAAATGAGAAAAGGCTAGAGCTTATGTATTCGAATTTAAGTAAGACCGTTATTGATAAACCAGAAGATATAATGAAAATTAGAATCAACAATATTAACAAGGATGAAAGTGTTCAGGAAGAAAATTTAAGAGACATAAAAGAAACTGAAGACCCGCTTCATGTCACATATTCTAATTTAGGTATGAACACCATCGAGGAACAAGAGTATATGATGGAAATAGGCAGTTATAATACTAAGAAAGACGAAAGCTATAACGAAAATAACTTTAGTGCTTTGGAAGAATCTGAGAAATCTCTTGGGTTTACATATCCCAATGATGTAGAGGAAGAGGTGGAAGAGAAAAAGCGATTAAATATCGTAGAAGAAACTGAAGTAAATAGCAATGAAGGTAGAGATTGTGTTTTTTGACGAATATTGCTAAATAGTGCTTTATTTATAATTTTAGAATGTTCAAGTAATTATGACAAATCATTCGAGTTTAGAGATTCTGCAGAAGAGAACGAAATACAAAATTTTAACGATTTAGAACAAAATTCTGTTGTAATTAGCAATGAAGGTTAAAATTTTTTTTCATGTTCTTTTTTTATAGCTAGTTAACAATTCATTTTTCACTTTAGGTAGTTTAGCGAGTGATAAAAAAGAATATGACGAGCTGCTGAATACTATAGATTATAAAGATAAAAAGGAAATAAGCAGCGGTAGTACTATATCAAAACAAGATGAAGGTTTCATGTTTTTTTGTTATGTGCTTTATTTATTTTTCCAGAACTTTCATCATATGTAAGATGTAAGATGAACGCTTTCCTCTCTCTTATGTATGATAAAAGTAGTTTTAAATTACTGAAATAATAAAGGTGTTTATTTCAACTAATAACATATTCTCATATTTAGATATCAAAGTGATTATTGTTTACAAAAGAGATAAAAATCTTTAAAACCCAGCACGGTCATCTCACTTAGTACTATAATTACACCGTTCCCACTATACATAAAAAATTAATTTTGATATCGCTTATAGTATCGATATTTCTTAAAATTTTACATTTTGCAATATAGAATTCATACTATAAACGAACATTGTTCATACGCTTCATTCTATATGCAAATCAATTCCTTAAGTGCACAAGTTAGTAATTGATTTTTAATTATATTAATACTTACTTTTAAGTTGTTAAAAAGATACAAATCTTTATTTCAACGAGATTTCACAATAATCTCAACTAAATGCAGATTTGATCTATTATTTACCAATTAGTTTTAAGACTTGTGCTCGAGACTGCCTTCGTCTATTGTTAATTTTACAGTGTAATCGTACTATAATTGTCATAAAGATATGTGTATTCTTCATTTAAAAGTTTCCTGTATAATTTTAATTAAGATATATCTTGAACTCTTTTCGGAATGCAAGATCATCCTAGGTATGGTTTTCAACTTTCGATGCAATTTATTCTAATTGCTATATCAGTAGCGAAAGGTGCAAAATTGTTTGATATGACAGATGCAAAAATAAAGTGATAAAAACCTCAACTTCATACTACTCGTATATTGCAATTTGTTGACTTTAGTTAATACAACATGGGAATTACTAAATCTGTCAGATTCCGCGTAAATCAAAGTAAACAAACTACATGAATATCTTTACGAACTATATATATTAAATTGATATAATAAAATATTAATAATGTTACACATTAAATAATTTCTTAAATACAGACAATGATTTGTTACATTAGTAGAATACATGTTATTACACAAAGCCGATGCAGACAAATAAAAGTTGAAATCAAGTGTTTTAAAAAAAAATTTCATTGAGTCAAAAATTCCCTATTGTGCAAAATAAAAATAATAAAAATTTTATTTCTAATATATATTTGGTGAAATAAAAGTCATTGTGCTTACTTTCTTCCATTTTAATTTATAATTGTTTAGGCTAATTCGAAAGCTATTTTGAATAAGCTTGAATATAAGATATATGGCGTTATAACAAAAACGATATAAGGAGATCTGGCCCTCCAGGGTGGTGGTTGATCGCAAGACAAGAAACCAGTCATAGAGGTAGGCCAAGAACAAGACGGAATGAGAATGTGTATTTTGATGCAAGGACGATTGAAGTACTGAACTGAAAGAGAATAGCTGAAAATCGGGACAGATGGAGAGAGGTCGTGAGGAAAGCAAAGGTTTACACTGGATTGTAGTGCCAAATAAGAATAACAAGAAGAAAATGGTTTTTTCTGAAAATGAATGACATTTTTCTTATAGTGAAGAAATATATTATTGAATAATGCATTCTGCTAACATATTGGCAGTAATATATATCCACGCCTATAGAATATTTAAACGAATAAATAACAAAAACTGATTTTCTCTGTCCAGTTTTGGGCTCCAACTGAGTGCATTATACATTGTTTTTTCAGATGGTTTACGTAATGTATGTCCTAGCCATCCATACTTGCGTAGTCTGTTATCCGTGTGTACGGGTTTCTGCATTGTCACTTGTCAGAGAGGATCTTTCGTAGTAACCCTGGTTACCATAATCTTAAAATGGTGTTCAAAAATCGATTTAAAAAGAAAAGTTTTGTTCAAAAAACATAGAGAAAAAACGTTTATAATACTTATTGCTTATTTGAAATTATATTATCATATTTTCTTTTGCAAATTTTTTTGTTTCGTATCTTCATTAAAACAACTTGCCGCCTCCGTTAACAATTTATTATACACTGAATAATTAAGGAGCAGTTTCGTCAAATAAATTTCGATGTATATTTTTAGGAACGTACAAAATTTAAATGCCTCTACTTAATCGTTGCATGAATATGATTATTTAACACAAAATATTGCTCAAAAAAGTTAACAAACTCTTTCATAAAATACATTTAGTCAAGAAACCAGACACAAAAACTCATATATGTGTACCCTAAGTTTCACATAACTTTATCTTATTTCATTTCTTATAAGTTATTCATTAAATTGATTTTGTTTAATTGTGTTTCATATTTGAATTTAATATTTCTTCTATCCAATATGCACACTGTATTTATTTTTATGACTACCAAAAACATTATGACCGTCTATCATATTATTTTTTATTATCAAAAACACATTCTGTTGATTTCGAATGCACCTTTGTGAGTTATAGCTCACCTAAAAGTATTCTACGCTTTTCTGTTTATTCAGGTTTAAGGACTTAACACGCCCAAAAGTGCCAGTTTGCGCACTGGCATGTGTTAAAAAAGCAATAAAAAGTGGAAAATTTTACTTTTTAAACAAAAATTGTGAAAGAACAAAGCAGTTTGAACTTTTCAGAAAACAATTTAAGAACAAAATCAAGTTGAACATGTGCGTTTAAGTGTGTTTGTGTACGTTCTTGTTGTGTAGGTGTGGATGCGTAAGGCTATAAGATAAACACATTAACACTTCAAAAACGTTATAAAACAAAGGACCCACTTCAAAGGCGAATATTGAGTAATCTATTTTTCGAACACGTAAGAGATTTTAATGGATATGCATGCACATGTGTGTATACATATACATAGGTGTATTAAAAAATAAATTTATTATTTATATAAGTTTATGAAAAAACATTACTTGCTGATAAATCTAATTTTGCGTTTCATTATGAAAAAAAAACTAAATATTCTTGAATTTCGTGTTTTAATAGATATATTTATAATAGTTTCCTACCATTCATAAGGTCTGTTTGTTAATAAAATAAATTTTAGGTAACACTTTTTAGTCCAAAAGAAAGATGAAAAATCCGATCTAAAAAAAATTTTATTAAAAACTATTTGCTATAACTTGCTTATCTTAGCTATTTTTATGTAAATTAATAAGTTTATTTATATTTATTTTATTTTAATTGCGTGTGAATTTTTTTTAATTGTTTTGTTGATTGTTTGAACTTAAGTTTGAAATTTCCTAACAAAATTTTAGAAAATTGTATCTATTTAATATAATTTATATATATTTGTTTTCAACATTCTAGTGTCACTTCATCTTATTATTCCCTGTAACAAAGTTTTAAACTGTTGTCTTACAATACGCTGCACTAGTCATATATTGTCTACTGTATTTAGGAAATTAAATAAGTTGATCGCAGGCCAACACCACAATAGATCTGGTAGATTCGTAGCGATGCCAGAATAGTGTTATTCCAGTCAGTTAGTAACAATACATATTATGTGTGCAATTTGCAAATTTTGCGAGATACCACTTAAAAATTAAAAGAATTTTTTTTAAGAGAGCTAGAAAAGAAAGAAATGAGATGCTTTATACTTTTCATGTTGTCCGGATGCATACATTTTTTACTTTCTGATTGCCTACATGCATTGCAGTGATCAGTTAAAATATATACTAGCGTTCTGCAGTTCTCTCGATCGAACGATGATGATTTGATGTGTTTTTCACTGAATATGGTATTTTGCATGATACCTAAACTAAGCAACTTGTTCTTTGCTTTTCTCAGCAAGAGTTCATCTAGTATTCTATATAATGCGCATAGATTTGAGCACCTCATTTGGTTGGTCTTCTTCAAAAATAGTGCCAATTTTTAAAATTTTTCTCACGATTTAATTTCCCTATATGTCTTTATAAACTAAAGGATAATGTTACAAATAATGATGATGAAACGAGAACCCAATATATACACATCCTACTTATTATCTAGTATATTGTCTCTTTGCACCTCTTACCGTGTATTCAGATACAGGGTAGCAACCAGAAGTTGCTTGTCTGTCTGCAATGAAGTTTATTTTTTAGTTAGTTATGTGCATTTATGCAGCAATTTTCTAGATGCAAAAAGTTTTGCCTGTGACACATTACAAAAGTCGGAAAGTTTTTGGACTCATTTAAGCCTAGTTCAGGTAGTTCACAGTAAACGCTAGCCTTAACTTATTCTCGTTTGCATAGATGTTAAATGTATTACTGTTTAATCCATCTTCAATTTTCAATAATTGTTTTGATTGACTTGCGATAATGCATATTCGGTTGTGTCCGAAGATCTTTTTAAAGTATTTAAAGTATTAAAAATAGCGGAAAATATTGTATATGAAAAATAATCTTTTCAAAAAACTTATAAATCAATTTTGGGTAGTATATTTAATTCTCTTTTCTTTTATAGAAAAGGTATTATAACTAAGGATATTTTTTATATACATCAGTCATATTAGAAAAATATCTATTAGCTTACTTGTCGTTTGAATATTATCTATAGAACAGCAGAGTTCAAAAATCGAACCCTGTCAAATTTGAGTCAAGGACTCGCATGTTAGCACACAAAACCAAAGTTTATTTCATTTTCGTGGTATATTCAAAATTTGATTTTAATCCATTTTTGTTGTTTTCTCAATAAATAAAAATTTCACTTGCTGTACTATTTTTAAAATTAACGCATAAACCACGGTTATATAAAATCACTTAACTAATATTAATTATTGTTTTTCAAATAATCAGTATTCTATGTGGAAAATACTTTTACATATAGGTTGAAAGAATCTTGCTTGGCATCGAGTACTACAGTCGCTTTTTATAGAGGTATATGTGTTAGTCTAATCTGCAACTAAAATTTTTTTAAAACATAATTATATTTTGTTTTAAAAAAGTGAAAGTTTTGAGTGAAAAAAAATTGTTTTTTAATGAAGTTATATGTTTTCACTTAACTAAAATTTGCAATAATATTTTTATGTGTCATCTTCAAGTTACTAAAGATAATAAAAACTTCATTATGGATAATTAATTACTATTCAATTAAATAAATATTATTTTTAAGTTTTTAGTGAAATTTTATAAAATTTACGGTACTAATTCCATAATTTTTATTTTAATCATTGCTTCAAATAAATTTTTGTGCTACTAATAAATAAGTTTTTGTTTTT